AAACATGTACATCCAAATAGATGAAAATAAGAAATGTTGGGCTTTCTGTTCTTCCACAATTCATATGGAGTCTTTTCCAGAATAGGTCTTATGGAGATTCTATTCTGAATGCAACATGCTGTGTTAATTGCCTCTGCCCAGAAAATCTTAGCAACGTTGGTCTCGTTGATCATGGTTCTGACCATTTCTTGCAATGTTCTGTTCTTTCGTTCTACAACTCCATTTTGCTGGGGAGTTCTAGGACAAGAGAAGTCATGCAAAATTCCTTTTTCATTAAAGAATAATTCAAAAATTTTATTTTCAAATTCTCCACCATGATCACTTCTGACTTTGACAATTCTAAGATCCTTTTCATTCTGAACTTGGTTGCAGAAGGTAACAAACAGAGTGTGACTCGTCCTTGTGTCTTAAAAACTTTACCCATGTCCATCTGCTATAGTCATCTATGATTACTAACCCATACTTCTTGCCACTGACGAAAGTAGTTTTTACTGGTCCAAATAAGTCAATGTGTAGAAGTTCTAATGGCTTAGAGGTGGAAACAACATTTTTGGATTTGAAAGCAGGTTTTGCAAATTTTCCTTTCTGACATGCTTCACACAGAACATCTGAGTTGAACTTCAAATTAGGAAGTCCTTTGACCAGATTGATTTTGTTGATCTGAGATATTCTTCTCATACTAACATGCCCCAATCTTCTGGGCCAGACCCATTGCTCGTTGTTAACAGAAAGTAGACATTTTACATTCTGACTCTTTAGTTCATAAAGTTTTATTTTTTAAATGTTGTTTTTCCTCTTTCCATTAAATAGGATAGTCCCATCTTTCTGACTAATAGCTTTGCATGAATTTTGATTGAAGATTATATCATAACCATTATCACTTAATTGAATTATGGATAACAGGTTATGCATTAATCCATCAACTAATAAAACATTACTTATAGATGGAATATTTCCATTACCTACTGTTCCAGAGTCAATGATCTTTCCTCTCTGATTGCCTCCAAAGCCCACGTGGCCTCCAGGCTTAAGTTCCAGGCTTTCGAACATATGCCTTCTTCCCGTCATGTGTCGCGAGCAGCCAGAGTCCAGGTACCATGATTGGTGTCTTAACCTTGCTGCTAAAGATATCTCTTCAATGTCTGATTCTGAGTCTGAACCGGAAGCTTCACTGTCTTCTGATACGTTTGCCATGAGAGCTATGTTTGCTCTTTCATCATCTAATTCTGAGTCAGCTTCAGATGTGTCATAATCATCCCATGTAGCCATGAGGCTTTTCTTCTTTTCCTTGAGAAAATTCTTTTTGGGCTTTTCTTTCTGAAGCTTTGGGCAATCACTTTTGTAGTGCCCTTTCTCGTTACATTCATAGCAGATGATGTCCTTGTTGTTTGGCTTTCTGTATCCTGAAGAACCTTCAGATCTTCTGTGTCCAGAGGAGGACTCAGACTTTCTGTATCTGAAGGAGGATTCATTCTGATTCTCTGATCTTCTGGGATTTCTGAACTTCCTTTGTCTCTGCTTCGACAGTTGGTTCACCCTTATGGAGAGGAGAGACAATTCATCTTCTTCTGATGAGGATCCATCAGAAGTTTCTTCCACAACCTGCAAAACCTTGGAGTCAGATTTTCTGTTAGATTTTAAAGCTAATGGCTTACCTTGCTTTTGAGGCTCATCTTCTTCTAGCTCTATCTCGTGACTTCTGAGGGAGCAAACAAGTTCCTCCAGAGAGATTTTGTTGAGATCTTTGGCTAGCTTAAGTGCTGTGACCATTGGCCTCCATTGTTTGGGCAAGCTTCTGATGATCTTCTTAACGTGATCAGCAGTAGAATACCCTTTGTCAAGAACCTTTAGTCCAATAACAAGAATTTGAAATCTTGAAAACATAGTTTCTATTGATTCACTATCTTCCATCTTGAATGCCTCATACTTCTGAATGAGCGCAAGGGCCTTGGTTTCTTTGAATTGAATATTGCCTTCATGCGTCATTCTCAAAGAGTCAAACATATTCTTGGCAGTTTCTCTGTTTGATATTTTCTCATATTCTGAATATGAGATGGCACTGAGGAGAATTGTTCTGGCCTTGTGGTGGTTTCTGAATTCACGCTTTTGCTGATTAGACATCATTTTCCTGTCTATCTTCTGACCACGTCCGTCCACATGATGCGTGTATCCATCAGTCACCCTGTCCCACATATCAGCATCATGGGCCAGAAAGAAACTCTCAATTATGTCTTTCCAGTAGTCAAAGTTTTCTCCATCAAAGACTGGAGGTTTGCCACTGAATATGTCATTGTATTCATTGTTATCATTGCTGATGTTTTGGATTGGTCCCACCATAGTGTTTTTCTGATGCTTGGATCTTGTACTGACACTGTTAAGTGTTTAAGCTCAGAACCAGGCGCTCTGATGCCACTTGTAGGATGAAGCGCTTACCACTGAGCTAAAAGCAATTGCTTATAGCCAAGGTGCTACTCTATTTCCTTATAGAGCATCTAACAAGGGGCCTACCTAGCCCACCTAACACACCTGTGTAGGCGCCCTTGGGGGATGTTAAGTCCTTCGAATCCCTAAATTTGACGCTGGATATTTTAATCCAACACTCACACGCAACACTTAAAAAGGTCTGATATCCAAAAATAATGATGATGATATCTATGAAAAGACATTTTGAAGTATGGTGCATTAAAAGCATGGTTTCATAAAAGAACTGAAATGACTCTCAATCACATATCTTATAAATAATCAGAGGTTTTTCAAAATCCAGTTTGTAATGTCAATCCTCTGCCTTCCTACATTATGACAAGAGCTTGGGGAAAAATTGTTCTGAGATGGTCGGGTCGACCCCAGATGGATTTATGTCGACCATACCGATCCTGACAAGAAATCATATTGTTTCTTCCAAAATCTTCTTAACATGTGAAGTTTATCATTCTAGCGATCATCAAAGATCTCAGTTGTAAAGCATCCAACGACTCTCCGCAATTCAGTTCTAACTAATAGCCAATTATTTATTCTCTCTACTATATATAGAGAAGACGCCAAAATCGTGTAACAAATTTTAAATACAATTTCAATTCACTTTTCTTCTTCATATACTGAATTGAGAGTTTGAGTGCTAACCTTACAGGTCCATCCACTCCACCGCATCAGAAGATGCGATTTGTCGTTGTTGTTGTTCACCTTTTCATTTCTGGTTCCTGAATGGACCAAAAAATATCCTCACTAACTCGTTCTCCATCCAAAAATACTGAGCGACATCGAAAATAAGCACACAATTTATTCGGTCCTTGTGAACTATGTTTACCCCACTATCAACAAAAAAAATAATGTTCATCAGGAATTCAAGAACAATCCTAAAAATTGAGATGCTCCATAACCTTATTTCCACCAGGTTATCGAGCATTCAAAGAACAAAAAACTTTAATGAAAGCATATACCCTAGGGTCATCACAATACACCTCAACAAACTCAAGATCCTTAGTGGATAATTTAGAAGAGGAGATATCAAAATCAGCCTCCCCAACAATGGGGAGTCAAGGGTTTGGTATCATCTTATATAGAATCTCCACTAGTCTTATAACTATCACTAAGAACAACAAGGTATGGAAGGCGATGAACAACTTCCAAAGGAGTAACATTCAATATTTTTGGGCCTACTACCCTAATGTAAGATGAAGTATCACTTATAGCATTGCTATTAGATATTTATATGACATTCATTGGTTCACCCCTTACACTGACCATGACTAAATAAAAGGACAAAAAAAAAACAACTGTAAATGAGAAAGATGAAAGTGGTTCCTAGAAAAATTGATAATTTGAAAGTAAAAGGGAAGAATACGACAAAAGATTACTCTAAAGGTGAGATGAACCAAGAGTGTGCAAAATCCAAATAAAGAAATAAACAATCAAAATGGGATTTGCTACGACGAAAATTTGCAAAGAGAAGAGGTAAGTTACAGTTTGCGCAAAGAATGGAAACATTCCCTAAAAGGTGAAATAACTTTTATATGGTGAAGCGAGATAAGCAGATCAAGAACCCAAAATGAAGGAAAACAAACATATGAAAAACAACAATTAGATTTTCCTCAAAAGTAAGACAATAATCGAGTACACTTGAGCATACTAGATTGGAGAGAACCACACTTTACTCGATCTTGGAACCTAAGGCTACATGTAAGGGCAATCTCGTAAAGCTTCGTAATAATGAGACTAACATTTAATATACCTAATTATCAAGGTAGTGGTTCCCGGAACCACTCACTCCGATTGTCTGAATCTTTTCCACTTCTGTAAACAACTTTGAGGATCCGGACCTACGTACGGTGACATCGTCGATCCAATATTTTTGAAAACTTCTCATTACTACATTAGGGAAAGACTTGAGGATAATTATTTAGGACCGGCCAAATACAATGCTCAATAACGGATATACCCAATAATTAACCCAGAGTTATAAGTTATTAGTGCACATGCTACCTCAAGATCCATACCATAAACAGTTACTCACCGCTCATACCACATCGGAAAGCAGAGGAAATCTCTAACCTCTCTTCAAATATAAGGGATCCCATTGTATCCCAACTTATACCTTCATTTTATCAAATACTTTATATTGTAGAAGCTCTCATGTTCCATCATTTATTATATACTCTCATGTTGCGTCATTTATTATATATTTCCATCAAACATTAATTTCCTTTCATGGGGGGAAGGTGAAGAAGGACATACATTAATGTTGGAGTTGTATCTTCTCTTTTCTTTAGTAGCCTATACGGCATTGCTTCATTTGCACATTTTCAAAAATAAAAAAATAACACTTAACCATTATCACCATGCATTCATAAACAAAGTAGTCATATTTAGTGTACTCCTCTTAAATGATTAAACCTACCACCATGTATAGTAGGATACAATATTTACTACTATATTACAAACCAAAATCACTTAATAGAAGCATAGTACTAAATTACATAACACTAATAATATAGTATATTGATCTAGTAAGATCTATAATAATGGAGGTTGAAAATAGAGTGAGCCACAAGCAAAAGAAAGACAGATGAAGCAATGATAGATAGAACCAAAGCAGCAGTCATATGACGACAATAGGCATCAAATACATTACACACTTTCATCCATTGCACGTGCGAGTTTCCTTTCTGCCCTAACACTCCCTCTGCAGCAGCTGCTCCGTTGGCTGAGAAGTGTAATCCAGATATAACAAGATCTAGTATTGTTATCATCAACAGTATTGTTTTGTTTCCACTGCTTCTTGCAATGGTTGAAATCACCATTGTTGTTGCTGCGTATGTACATCCTATAGCGTTTGTCACCAAGAAAAACCTAATATTACAAAATAAAGTTACTTTTTGATAATAGAAAAAGACAAAAATAACACATGTTTTAGAAGAGAATGATGAACTTACACACTAGCAGACATATATTCCCACTTAGCAGTAGCTTTGAACTGCAACTCAGCATAGGAAATAACCTTAGTTTCCTTATCAACAGCAACAATGATAATAGCAGTGAGAGTGAGCAAGAAACAAAGAACCCTAAGCAACAAATCATAAACACCACTTTTCTTAGTTTCCATATTCTCTACAACCTTCACATCACTTTGAACTCCATCCAAACTCCCCTTAGATTGACTTCCCATATTGCAGTAAGCAAGTACACTTGAAGAGTTAAGTAATAAATATTTTAGTTTTGTTGTGTAACGAAAGATAAAGTATATATATACAAAGATGTGTATAATAACTGTGAGAAGGAGAGGGCGAACAGTGAGTGAATGAGAAAGGTGGGGAGGTTGGAAGTGCATTCAAGACAACGTGTACGAGCTATAGATTTATATTTAATGTCATCGACAATCTTTCTTCAATGTCTATGTCTATGTGGAATCAGCTCCATGACCACTTTTTTTTTTCAAGTAATGTATGTAATGTACAGCATTTGAAATTTAAAATATAGTGGTGCTCACAGCTCACTCCACCATATAGGATTTGGATTTAAACCTACATTGCATTTTCTATAGGATATAAAGTTGTTGGAAGATGTTAATGTTGGATCATTTAATGTTAGAACGTTACAGAAGTGTGTGCTAAGTCTAAATGTGGGAAGTAATTTGAAAAAACTCTGAAGTTTTATATTTGACAATTTTTATATGTTTATATAGAAGAGGTAGTTTTTAAATTTTGCAATTGGAAGAAGCAATGTAAATTGTTCTGTCTAGGGACCAGAAATGACAAGTGAAACGGTGAGATGGAATTTTGAATCAGCAGAACAAACTTTTGAGGTAGTGAAGAGGAGATTGATCTACAAGATTAACACTCATCGCCTAAGTTACTGAGAGAATAAAGAATAATTTAGAATAGATCTGAATCATGAATTTTTTTTAACAATAACCATGTATTAAAAAAAAATTCGCAAATAACCGCGTTTCGGAAAAAATTACGCAAATAACCATGTTTCAGATGACTCCACAAAGGAGGAGCCATCTGAATTAGCGCCTCCACCCCTACTTTTGCCCTAGGCGCCATCTCACTTGGCGCCTCCTTTCACTTTTAGCCAAGTGAGATGGCGCATGCTCCTTAAAAGTGAGAGGAGGCGCCATCTCACTTGGCTCCTAGGGCAAAACTAGGGCAAAATGCTGTTTTATAAATAATTCGTCCGTTTCTCCGAAATTTCGCACACTTTCTCGCACTGTATTTTTATTTTTTACTCTGTTATTTGCGTCATGACGTCGCCTATGATTTTTAGCAGAGATGGATACGTTATTTTCTCCGCCACGAAACCTGCGATGAAAATGAAATTCTGGCACATTCACTCCATGGAGCGTCTGAAGCGGGAGTTGATGCGATGGCTAGATGGAGACATTTGGGAGGGGGGAAAATTCGAAGGATCCAGCGAAAACGAACAACAACCTCACATGCGGCAGGGAGACCTAATGTATGGTTGGAGGAAGTCAAAATAGACAGCGATGTAATGTTGATGATGCATGTGTCAGATGAAATTGTGTTAACAGTTGTAATTTCGTAGACGGAATATCGTTAATTTTTCTTGTACGCGCAATATTTATTGTAGCAAAATCTGTTAACGAAAAACCCTACTGTTTACAACATAATTAAGGAAAAATTTTATGTATTACAATTTTTATGTGGTCGAGGCAGACGCCTGATTCGGACAATTTTGCGATTGTGTTCGACCTGACGGCATAAACCACACTTTCTTTCCAACCTGTCAAGATCGTCCATTTCTGTTGTGACGCGCTTACTTTTGGGACGACCCTTCTTGTTCCTTCGCATTTGGTCATTGTGCCACACTATTTCGCCGTCGTATGCAGGCCAATAATCTAGTTTTGCTACCAAAGGAAAGTTGTTGTTGTAAACATTGAGCAACGTTTCAGATTTGTAAATGTTTGACAGAAGTTGCAGCGCGTCTTGATGGGTATGAGCACAAGCGGCAATGACATGAGAGCAAGGCATACGAAATGCTTGAAACCTGCCACAATCGCACCAACGAGAAGGTAGCATGACCCTATATTCTTGTCTTGGCAGGCCTTTGTTGTGGTCGATTGTCTCTTTCACTATGAAGTTGTGGCTGTGTCGGTCAAACCGTATAACCATATGAGTGTTGGCTTTAGCACTTTCAGCCTTAATGTGTTTCATGCAGCTTTCACTCCATAGTTGTCCAGATTGCAACACCGCATTCCATATTTCACCTCTTTTGGCAAATAACGCAGCCATCCTAAAATACGTAGATTTTACCAAAGCAGTGATCGGGAGGTTTCGTATGCCTTTGAATACCCCATTTATTGATTCAATAAGATTCGTTGTCATATGCCCCCATCTTTGGCCATTGTCGTATGACCTAGTCTATTTTTCCACCAGAATATTGTCTATCCACCTACCGGCTTCCGGATTTGACAAACGGATCTCGTTGTGGTAATATTTGAATGTGGGTTGTGTCAATGCATATCCCGCATTCATAACTGCTTTCCTTAATGTTTTGTCCTTGATCTCCCTCGTGAAATTCTGGACGATATGCCTAACGCAATAGACATGCGTAGAAGGAGGGTCATGCCAACCATTTGCAGGATTATTGTAGACACTTTCAATGGAGGCATGTCTGTCCAAGATCAAACAGAGATCTGGTTGAGGAGCCACGTGTGTCCGCAGATTTTTCAGAAAAAAGCTCCAAGCACCACCGGTCTCCCCCTCGACAAGGGCAAAGGCAATGGGGAAAATGTTGTTGTTGCCATCTTGTGCAACTGCCATCAGTAGTGTGCCTTTGTACTTCCCATACAACCAAGTCCCATCAATTTGTATAATTGGTTTGCATGATGCAAACCCTGTGATGCATGGTTGAAATGCCCAAAACACTCGACTGAATATTCCGTTGCCGTTTAGTAGACTACCATCTTGGGCGTATGCTGGCACTGTTTCCAGAACGTAAACACTACCTGGAGAATACGTCTTGAGTGCATTCAGGTGGCGGGGAAGTTCTTGGTATGACTCCTCCCAGTTTCCGTACACCCTTTCAATCACCATAGTCTTTGCTAACCACGCCTTACAGTAAGATGAAGTGTAGTTAAAAACCGTGGTAATGTGGGAGATGATTGTTTTCACCTTCAAAGATGGGTCGTTGCTGACCAGGGGTAGGATTTCTTGACAGATGAGATCGTAGTTGAGTTTTCGGTGGTCCTGTGATTGAGTGGAACTTACACAAGTGTGGGTAGTCACGGAACCTATGACCCAACAGTCACCTCTTAATCTGTATGATGCGGTCAGCTTGAACATACAGTCAGGGTAGACACACTTTATCTTGTACCTTTCCGGGTTGACACGATCCACCTTAAAATCAACCGAGTTGAGCATATGGAATTTTTTTGTGGCTCTGATGCATTCCTCTCTGTTACGAAACTTGTCCTTCTCTTTTAAATTTTCATCCGACTGCATATACGGATTGAAAAATAAGTCAGTAGAAGGTTCATCTCCGCCCATGTTGAAGTTTGTCATGTGCGGAGGTGGTGTGTAGATTTAGTTTGCAGGAATACTAGGAATGCCATCATCGTCGGAATCATCATTCACCATTTCATCAAACTCTAACTCGTCATCTTCTTCTTCATCATCAACTGCATCTACCTCAGCTTGTTCATTCTCCAAAGGATCAACCTCTTGTGTCACCTGAGGCTCTCGCAGCATAACGTACAACTCAATAGAGTCGTACCCAGAATACACATGGCTGGAAAACATATTCTGGAGATCCTCGTCATCTTAAACTTCAACCTTATAAAAAATTACTTGGTTGTTTCCAAAAAAAACTGGATTCTGATAAAATATCTGGGTAACCGGGCCTCGTTCAAGTTTGGCCTCCAATCATTTTTTGAAGTACGAGAAATTGGCTTTCCCGTTTAAGAGAAATCGGATGTTGTCTGTGTCTCTAAACAAAAACCCAGCGGTGGGACAAATGTATGTCTCACCGTTGAAATGTGCTTTGACGACAAATTATGGTGCAGAGGCCATTGCGTAGGATTGTTTGAAGGTTTGAAGGTTGGAATGTTTGAATTTTATGAGTGATTCGAAGGTTGGAATGTTTGAAGTTTATTGATTGTATGAAGGTTTGAATGTTGTAAGGTTTGAAGGTTGGAATGTTTGAACTTTATGAGTTATTCGAAGGTTTGTATGTTTGATTGTTTGAAGGTTTGAAGGTTTGATTGTAAGAACGTTTGAAGGTTGGAAGATTTGACAGATTAAGTGAATCAATGTTATGATAAACGTAAGACTAAAAATTTCAATTAAGTAAGGATGCAACCCCCAAGGCTGCCAATAGTGTTACATGCAAGGCATCCTAAAGACTGTCACGTAGCCTGAGCCTAGCCTGCAACAAAGGACACTTCTTATTCGCCAATTGGGGTGGTGACACCATTCATTTTTGTACTCTTTCGCCAAGTCCAATGGCGCCTCCCTTACTATCCAATCGTGATACATGCATGCAGATATGTAACCCCCTAGGCTGCCACCTAGCCTGTGCCTACTCTGCACCTATACTGTATGTTGTAAGTCTCCTCCCATCACCTCCAATGGGGTTACATGCATTCAGGTAAGGCATTCCAAAGGCTGTCACGTAGCCTGAGCCTAGCCTGCAACAAAGGACACCTCTTATTCGCCAATTGGGGTGGCGACACCATTCATTTTTATACTCTTTCGCCAAGTCCAATGGCGCCTCCCTTACTGTCCAATCGTGATACATGCATGCAGATATGTAACCCCCTAGGCTGCCACCTAGCATGCGCCTACTCTGCACCTATACTGTATGTTGTAAGTCTCCTCCCATCACCTCCAATGGGGTTACATGCATTCAGGCAAGACATCCCAAAGGCTGTCACGTAGCCTGAGCCTAGCCTGCAACCAAGGACACCTCTTATTCGCCAATTGGGGTGGCGACACCATTCATTTTTGTACTCTTTCGCCAAGTCCAATGGCGCCTCCCTTACTGTCCAATCGTGATACATCCTTAGGCTGCCACCTAGCCTGCAAGAGTAACACCTTTCATTTTTTTACATGCATGCATATATGTAACCCCCTAGGCTGCCACCTAGCCTGCAAGAGTGACACTTCGCATGCATGCAAGCACCAGCAACCACTATATGAAATTTTT